AGATCACTAGATATTTTTTAGAAATATACATGTAAAATGATGACTAATGAAAAGAGGTGCAACAACTCGTGGATAATCAAGCTCAAAAATTCATGGTATGTTGGATTTCAACAATTTCTTTTCTTAAATTATTATTTTTTGTGAATTTGTTGATTTTTTCTTAAATTATTATTTTTGTGAATTTGTTGATTGTTTTTCAAGAAACATATAAAACATAGTTAGGGGAGTAATATGGAGGTGATCATTCAAATCATTTGAAATTCGATAGAAATCAGATTTATAGTAACTTAAACACTACGATCAAGAACTTACGAACACTCCGAAGTGTCTCAACCGTAGATGCTTGCAATCGGTTCCGAACACTCAAATATTTTAATAAAATTATTGATGGTCCTACCAACAGTTTAAGTCCGTCAGTATATTATAGAGAGTTGAAAAGAAATTACTGAAAATACCACTAACATTGTCCAATCACTGCGGTTTAATTCTATTGATAATATTAAAAAATCACCGATGAAATTATAAATAGTTTTTTTTACCGATAATATATCATATTCACAAGAGATATATTAACAGAGTAAAGCAAGATAATATTTTTTTGTTTGGTAGGCTTTTGCTATCTGCAAATCCATTGCTGAACATATTATCAAAGGACTTGCCAACATAACATAAATAATTGATCACAAGTTTTTTTTTAAATGATATTTAGTAAAATAACATCTAAATATATTCTTAAATTATTTAAGAATTTAGTAAATTAATTAATGTTGAAGAATCTAAATTCAAATTAATTAAAAGAAAAAAACACAAAAACAGTTAGACACATGGTCTTGACATTAATTTTAATATAATATATTAGTTAATTATTTTGTAACCATTTGTTTCATCGTGTCAACTCGAAGCCAAGATCACAGCCCAACAATACAAGTGAAAGGGCAATGCATGTTAATTAGTGTATCTTTTAGTCTTGTTAATGAGAATCTGACTTTAAGCATTAAAAGTCGTTTTTGCCAAAATAAAAATTAACAGATATTCTTGCCTGATGTGAACATCCCACACATCCCAAGCCATGCCAGTCAAGATTGCAACGCCTTTCCAGTCCAGTCCTTAGCAATATTATCAAGTCAAGTACTCCATGGGAGAAGCTTGCCCTGCAATTTAGCAAGGCACATGCTTTTCTTTACATCAAACTCAAAGTTCCCTTGGTGCATGTGAGGTTTTCCCCTCCGTGCTCGACACAATTGCATGTCATTTGGATGCATCCTTAGGGGTCAGAAACTCCTCTTTCGCTTACAGCTATATACCCCACAAAATTAAAAATAAAAACTCAAGCATAGCTCATGCGCGCATGGTGTCACCTTCAAATTGCTTTGATCCCACCTTTGTTTCTCTCCGAAGATAGCGAGTTTGATGTGTTTTGCAGCCTACCCACATGGTTCTTCTATATTATGCATGGTAGACTTTCACTGGCTTTTCTTGCTCTAATTTTGTGTGTCTTAAGCATTAAAATGTATCTTCTAACAAAGCTTATGTATGAGAATAGAAAGATCATTAAATAAAAAATAAAAAAAAGGTGGTCAATTTAACCAAAGCAATGGCTTCTTCTCAATTTGATAACCTTACGAATTAATTTAAAGCATCCCTTTGTCTTGTCTTTTGTAAGAGAAAACAATGAACTCAAGATCAGACAGACAGCATTAGGGTATCGTAATGCAAGTAATCGTATTAATTCGGCTTCCACAATTCAAGAAACCATGAAATGTTGACCCATTCAGATAACGTATTAGCCAAGTAGGTCTAGTCAAAGCTCCATTGGGACCCTGCCGTTTAGGCCCATAGCTTGAGCCAACGCCATTTGGTCACCTGCAAGACTTGGCGTTAATGGCATGGCATGTATTTAATTTGTAACCTAATTAAATGGTCCTTAATTAACTCCATTTTGAAGGAGAGGAACCTTTCGCTTTCCTACAACTTGTCAAGCAATGTAACGCTTCCATGCTTTGCAGTTTTTTTTTTTTTTTTTTAACTCAGTTAGTCCTTGAATAAACCATTCACAAATTTTCAGAATCTTGTTCAAGTTTCACACGCCAGAATTCTCCCTTTTCAATTTCAATTTTATTAATCACCACCAGTATAATAAAATGAAGTATATATAGACAATTAATCATTTCCTATAATTAGATCATTAAAATAATTTATTGACGATCTTCAATAATTCATTTTTTATTTGTTAGGAAATAGTAACAAATATTTGCTTTAATTACCTCTTTAATAGATATATATATATTCCCAACTCAACACGACTGTAATTTTTTTTTTATATTTTATTTAACTTCCAAACTCCTTATCATATCATAAATAACCCTTAAATTGATAAATAAATCAATATTTATTTTTCAATAATTATACATATTCAAACAAGCTTTTCATACTGAAAACAAAATCTTTTTTGTATGAGATTTTAGATGACTAGTTCCTATATCTAGCGAGGTAAGTATTAGTTCTGGTGTGATAGTTTGAAGGTTGAGTTTTGACTTCTAAGAGAGAGGTAGGGTTGGCTAAGAGAGGTTGCCCCTCTCATATATATTAGAGCCTCAGGCTATGATCATGGTGCTCTTGCAGTCCTGGTAAATCGGTTTCGTGACAATGCAGTTCAACAGTATTTTTTATTTTTGAGTTTTTAAATTTTTTTAGATTATGTTTATAAAAAATAAAATAATATATTTTAAAACACAACTTCTATCCAAAATCACTCTGTTTGAATATCCCGGTGAACCAATCAAGTATTTTAACCGTGCATGACTAATTGATCCGGTCTGTGATCCTGTCAAAAAATAATAAGAATTATCTCTCTTATTAAAAATGTATTTTTTACATTTCTCTCTCCTTTATGATCCGGTCTATGATGGTAATGGAAAGTCAGAATTTGTTCTTATAAATTGTAAAACCAAAATTTAACATTATTGAACACTGTGGTGTATTATTTTACGTCTTCAAAGTTCAAATTTTATATGGGTAAATATAGAAAATAGAAAAAAAAAGATAATGGAGAAAAAAATATTTGAATAAAAATATATAAAATAAATCTATATTTGAGATAGTTTTCCAACTGTTTCAATACTGAAGATTGAAGTTGAGGGAAAAAATTCATGAGATTAGAGTAATTATACAAAAAACAAATTGAAAAAAATTATAAAATTTAATTTTTAAACAATTTAATATTAAAGAAAAAAAAACTGTAAAAAAAAGAAGAAAAATAATAAGTTATTGAAGGATGGAATTGTTTTAAAAAAATATTCAATAAAAAAAACTTAAAAAAATTAATTAAGTCAATTCTGGTCAACTTTCCAAACTCATGAGTAGATTAGAGATTGTAATAATTCTATAGAAAATATATATATATATATATATATATATATATCTAAATTAAAAAGATTTAATTAAAAAATAAATAAAATTAAAATAATAACTAACCCGAATCAAATCGAGTTAATCTGTTAGATCTACGACAAGATTATAAGATCAAGATAAATCTATAAAAAATAAATATATTTTTTTTACAAAATCTCAATTTTAACATATTGTTTTAGAACTAGATCAACAAAAATAAAAAAATTTATAGGACTAGTATATAATTGAAAGGAAAAAAATACAAAATATAATTTTTAAAATAGTATAATATTAAAGAATAAAATTTAAAAAATGATAAAAAATAAAATAAAAATCATAAAATTAATATTATTAAAATAAATAATATTTTATGAGTTTAGCTATAATGATTTTATTTTGTTAATTCTTAAATTTGAGTTTTAAACCTTCGAGTTTTGGACATTTTTGAACTACTTTGCGACAATGCCGTCCTTGATTGGAAGGAAAACGACACGGTGTCACGCTCATAGACCACACAAATGCCAAATTACGAGAGAGTGATTAGATCCGTAACCAACAAAAAACCGGAACCATCTTGTGTTTTTATTATTTTTAACTTAGTATTGAACCGATGTTTTCTTTTTCCCAGTTTGGTCAATTACTGTCCATAGCCTTTTATTGTTCACATAAATATTAAAAATGATAAACATAAAAAATATTTTAAATAAAGCATAAAAACGAGTGCGTGCATGCTACTTTTTCATAATGGTTCGTTATAATTTTTTATATTTTGAAAAAGACTGTATGATAATCTTAATTATTATATGGAAAAAACATGTTAAACATTAAAAACAATATAAGATTGTGAATAAAAAAATAGATGTAAGAAAAGGGGATTTATTTATTTCAAAAGGAGAATTACTCGAGAGAGAAATTCAAGATTTAGGGATCAATTAGAGTTTTCCAACGTTTCTAATAAGATCCAGTTAGTAAAATTAATAAAAATATATATATATATCGTTCGTGATTAAATATTTTAGTAGTTTTTTTTTTATCACTGAATAAAGAATTGATTTTTCCATGTCATATAAATACATAAAATATTAGGCGTTAGAAAAGAAAAAAGAACCTTCATTTATGGACTAATTTGTCAAAATTATATGTAACTTTTGCATTCTAGTATTAAAGCTTAGGGATAAAGTGAAATTGTAAATTATAAATAAAAAAAATATGCTAAATAAAGGAAATAAATAAATCTTCAAATTAATATTTTTTATATATATATTTTAAATTTTTTTATGTACTGATATAAAAAATAAATGTTTTTATTTTAATATATTTTTAAATAATAAATACTTTAAAAAATAATTAATATCATATTTTCAGCTCAAATCCTCCACCGTGGAATCTCCCTCCATAGGCAATGGAACCTACCAATAATTAACATGTGATCCTTACAAGGAAATCGCCATCAATCAGAACGGTACCAAAAATAAAATAAAGCATCGTTATGGGACCCATGATAACATCCAATTAACCCTTTAATCCAAAGATAAAGACATCAATAAGATAATAATCACTCTGATTCCTCCCTGTAAAAACCTTTCCTGGAAAATGTAAAGAGAAATTTAAGGAAATCTCTCTCTCTCTCTCTCTCTCTCTCTACATGTATATACTATATATACATATATATATTGCAAAAGCTAAGCCTTGATCATTCACACCACATTACATTTCCTTGTAGTTCTGGTAAGGTGACATGCAAATGTTTGTACAATCAAGTTGATGAACAGACTCCATTTTCAAGCCTTTGCTTAGTTTGGTTATAGCTTTTCTTGAGTTCAAAACGAGCGAGAAGTAACAGAGAGAAAGATAGCAATGAAGAATGAAGAGCAAGAACGGACTTTGTTTGGAATTTCTCTGACTGATAGGCCAAGATGGAAACAATTCTTCATTTGCTCTTCTGGGTTTTTCTTTGGCTATCTTGTTAACGGCATATGTGAGGTACTTTCTCCGTTTCATTGCATACTCTGTTTGGTTTCTGGGAATTGGAAAGAAAAGAAAGCCAAACTTGGAATTCCAGCTTCTTCTTTTTTTGCTTTCTTTAATTTGTTTCTGAGCAGCCAAAGTGAGGTTAAAGTTTGAATCTTATGGTTCGTTAAAACTGCTTCATAGGACTAAAAGATTGCTCTTTTTCACTCTTTTTCTCGATTTCAGGAATATGTGTACAACAGGCTTCAGTTCAGGTAGGCTTTTACCTTTCTTTTACCATGTTCCTTAGGCAATTTTTTTGATATGTTTATCTGTGAACTATTTGTTAGTTTTGTTATTATAAATGACAGGTGGTCTTCCATTCTTGCAGCTATGGCTGGTACTTTACATTTGTTCAAAGCTTTGTATATGTTTTCCTGATTTATCTCCAAGGCTTTACTCCCAAGCAAATGGTGAATCCATGGAAGACTTATGTCAAGCTCTCTGCAGTTCTCATGGGTTCCCATGGACTCACCAAGGGGTCTCTGGCTTTTCTTAATTACCCTGCACAGATCATGTTTAAATCCACCAAGGTAGGACTGATTCATGCCAACAGAATAATACTTCTGTGATCCTTAATTAGGCTGGTTAATGCCAAATACAGCAGAATAATAGCTCTGTGATCTTCAATTGCAAAAGCAAATTAAATGAAAATGAACGTTTTGTACGAGTATTTAGAATTTGATCCTGTCTGTCTGTGAAAAAAAAATGAGGTAGGCCCCTAAAATAAATGGTTAGTTGTCAATGGAGTCTGAACATCGGTGCTGTTTTTTGTTCGAATCAAAATGCATGAGACCCATATTATCACTGTATGGAGTCTTTACTATAAATAACCACTTGAGTTTTCAACTACAATTAGTAAATTAAGCCAAGAAAATGATTAAGTTGGCTGATATTTCTCGTGGTCTATATATTCTGGCTCCGCAGGTTCTTCCAGTGATGGTAATGGGTGCATTCATACCGGGTCTGAGACGCAAATACCCAGCTCATGAATATGCATCTGCGCTACTTTTAGTTGCAGGTCTGATCATTTTCACTTTAGCAGATGCAAAAACTTCACCTAATTTCAGCATCATTGGTGTTTTGATGATATCTGGTGCCCTGATCATGGATGCTTTTCTTGGTAACTTGCAAGAAGCTATCTTTACCTTGAGTCCTGAAACAACACAGGTGATGAGCAAGAGGATTTTCCTACTTGTGCTTCAATGTGAAGAAAAAGGCATGGAATTCATGTTTTTTTCTTTCTTTCTATGCACAGATGGAGATGTTGTTTTGCTCAAGTGTGGTAGGCTTGCCTTTCTTGATCCCTCCCATGGTTTTGACAGGAGAACTGTTCAAAGCATGGAACTCATGCTCGCAGGTAATTGACATACCAAGCAGTTTTATTGTTTTTCCCACCTTAACGTATAGTTCACAATTCTTTATCCCGACAAAAACGTACACATGGGTTGAAACTTTTGCCTGACAAAAATCCTTACAAGAGGAGCTCATCCTCGTTCACTAAAAAGGCTAAGATCGAGGAACCTTCTACAAATGATGTAGAAGAGAGAGTATTTCAATTAGAAATTGAAGCTGTAGGGGATGAAGAGAAAAGGCCATTGGTGTAGAATTAAAAAGGTTTAATTTAAGCTATGTTTTTTTTCCAAATTAAGTGTTTTTACGTAAGATTCTGACGGTTAAGTTAAAATGTTAGCTTTGAACATTTCATAAAGTATTTGTATTTTCATTTTTATAAGGTGAACATTCTCTTTTCTGGACAGATTGCAAGCAAAAAAATGTCAAATCATAGTTAAGAGCATTTTACAGAGTAAAAGGGATTTTAATATTTATTGTGTTCTAGAGTTATTTTAGACTTTTAGTATGCTTTATAATCATAATATAATGTTTTTATGCAATATCGGGGAGTTTTTATTAAAACAAAGATGAATTAGTTTAATTCTCTCTCTCCATTTATATTTTGGTATTGTACAGCTTTAGAAAAATAAAAATAAAAAATCACCAAATTTCAATTCATGCCTTTATTATTTAATCATTACAAAAACTAAAAAGGCATAGATAAATAGTGCTGCCGCCTTTTTTAAAAAAGTTTTTTCTTCATTTTGTAATTATTTAAAAAAAATATTATGCCTCTTTTTTTATTTAGTTAGTTTTTAATTTATTTTTTAATATTAGATTATTTAATAATTGAATTTTATATTTTTTTTAAAGTATTCTTTTTATGTAGTTATCACAATTTCATAAAAAAAAAATTCAATTAACAATATTGAGTTTCATAATTTTTTTATTTTGCTTTCTATAAGTTATTCTAATCTATAATTCAGATCATGAATTTGATAAGTTAACTTGAATTTTTTTAATTAATTTTATTTTTTAATTTCATCTTCCAATAATGAGTTGATTTGAAATTTTATGTTATAAGATTTTTTTTATTTTCTTTCTATATGGTTATCACAATCTCGTGATCGGGTTATCATTTTGTTGACTTGTGTTATTTTTAAATTAAATATTTTTCAACACTGAGTTGATTAAAAATTAATTTTCATAATTAATTTTATATGAAATTATTATGATCTCATGATATATGTTATGGATTTAATACGTTAACTTTAATTGATCAGGATCGATTCAATATGTCCTCATTTAAATATTAAAAAAACAAAATCTCCTAATATGTCATATTCACATTATTTAAAAAATATTTTATATAATATACATCAAATTTTGAATTCATGATCAAATTATTATTTACTTGAAAATATATTAGTAATGTTTAGATATTATTTTATATTAAAAAACTTTGATCCACCTATAACTTAGCATGTTCCAATGATAACGATCTAGTTCGCAAAACATCTAAAAGTTGTTTCCCTACTCGGTGCAAAATGGGACAATTGAATTTTTTTTCTCATTTTCAAATGTTTTTTTCTTTCAAATATTTCATTTTATAGCCTAATAATAAGAAAGAAGGCTTGAAATTATGAAAAGAATTTAACTATTAAAGATAAATAACTACATATAAAACAGAAAGAAAATATGTGGCTAACAACACTTTAACAACAAATTTTATTTTGACCCAATATTTTTTTTTTCAATTATGAAGCTAAAGAGATGAGAGAGAAATTAATATTAAAATGACAAAGAGAAAGAAAGTTAATGGTTGGGTGATTTTTAAGCAATGAAACTTATCATTCCTAGTGTTTCTTGAACCCTTGTTTTTAGCTTATTTGTTTAGCTCTTTGTTTTTTTTTTTTTTTTTTTTTTTTGCACTTTATTTTTTTTATCATTTGATTTTTTTCCCCATTCTTGCATTTAATATTGAGTTTTTATTGATTTTTTTTTATTTTTTTAAAAAATTATTCTTTAATTTTTTATTAATTGTGAATTAATTTTCATATTTTTATCATAAAATAAAGTAAAAAAATAATTAAATCTAATAAAGTCTATAACCCAGGTCGTTGGTTTGACAAGTAAACTAGAATTAGCCTAATTGTTTCTCTTTTTTTCCTTTTAGGTTTTTTTATTTAAACCTACCAAGTTGACAAGATTACAGTGAGACAAATTTTCACTTGATTTAATTTGAAACTCAAGTTAAAAAATAAAAAATTTAATTGAAACTTTTCAAGTTTGATCATTATCTTAAATTTAATAACAATATAAAAAAGTTACTGTGGCCTAAATATTTTTTTTAGGTTAAAAAATATCATAGGACAATCAATAACCTAGTAGCTCTTATTTCTTAAGAAACTTGGATACTATTTTTGCTTATTAGCATTTTTTTTTAAAAAAAAAAAAGATTGTGAAATAGTACAGTTGAAAAGTATAGATTGTACATGTCATAATTAAGAAATATAATATTTATAGTTTGCTGTTATAGAATAAAACTTCTAAAAAAATTATTAAATGGACCAGAAAGGAGAAAATAGAAGAAAAAAAAAGACATGGAGATACAATGAAACTTCAATTAAGACATCATTGGCACTATTAAAAAGATATTAACAAAATAAATCCAATAATATTAAAGAAGATTATCAATAAAGACCCAAGTGTGTCATATTTGTTATCCAAAAATGATATGTGACTCACTTGTTTTTAGCGACAAATATTACCTATTCATATCATTATTGTTGATATTTAATGATTTCATTGGATTTATCTCATCTAATTTTGTATGGTACTAGTGACATTGTAATTAGAGTTTTGATGTGTTTCTAAATTTTTTTTCTTGATTATTTAATTTTTCAAAAGTTAGTATTTTGAATAGAAACAAGCTATAACTATCTCATTTTCAATTTAAAACATATATAAACTAGGCTATTTTATCTAAATTTTTTTCAAATATACTATTTCATTAATATTTTTATTTTATTGTGCTAATTAAAAAAATAATCCTTATAAACCACATTGTTTGTACAATGACAAGATGCACGCTGCAGGCAACATTGGCACTTTTGTAAAAACTCGAAGCCATTTTGTCCTTTTGGTTCTTCATAAATAAAAGCCATTGAATATCTCGAGCTTTGACGGATAACATGTTCTCTTTTCACCACGTGTCAAAGCACAAACATGCAAGGTGACACGAACACTTTTGCCTTTTTTGGAGGCGATGGCAATGCAGTCAAAACCTCGTTTTCTAATATTTATTTTTCTATTTAAATTTTATTTTTAAATATTTTTAAATCATTTTAATATATTAATATTAAAAATAAATTTTAAAAAATAAAAAAAATATTATTTTAATACATTAATTTCTATTACATTCTCAACTCCACTCTTAAATGATCATCAATCAAATCTGGACAGTAACATTAATATAGCATTGAAAAAATATCACATCATAAACAGCAAAATATTCCATTCCCAACTCCTCGCTTAAATGATCATCAATCAAATCTGGACAGTAACATTAATATAGCATTGAAAAAATATCACATCATAAACAGTAAAATCTTGATATTGTGTAGCAGCAGCAGCAGTACTGAAAAAATGGCTGGCAATGCTGGAGGCACATACACTACTACAAGGTTGCTAAGGGCAGAAGATGGAGGAAATAGAAGTGGGCAAGTAGAAGAAGGAAGACCAAAAGAACCATGGAAAGGAGAGTATGTGAAGAGTGTTGTCTATGCAGGACTGGATGCCATTATCACTTGCTTCTCTCTCATTTCTTCCATCTCTGCCACTCACAGCTCCACTGGTAATTAACATTATCTTGTATGCATGTATGATGCTTGTTTTTATCTAAAATTTGATTAGTTATTAATCATGATTCTGTTTCCCTGTAGTGGATGTGTTGGTGCTTGGATTTGCAAACCTGGTGGCAGATGGGATATCAATGGGGTTCGGAGATTATGTGTCTAGTAGCACTGAGAAGGATGTGGCTGCCAAAGAGAGGGCAGTGACAGAATGGGATGTCACTAACCATGGGAAGGCTCAGAGGCAGGAGTTGGTCCGAAAATATCAGCAACTTGGGATGGACATTAATGATGCAGCCACGGTACAACCTTCTCTTTCCCTTGTACAGTTTTGGCTATAAACAATTAAGTTGAAGTGAGAGTACTTATGTTTGCCTATTTGGTACTAGGTGGTGGAGATATTTGCAAAGTACAAAGACATCCTAGTAGATGAGAAAATGACCACGGAAAAAGGGATGACACCACCTGATGAAGAGGAGAAGCCATGGAAGAATGGTCTTATTACCTTAGTGGCTTTCCTTGTGTTTGGCTGTTTACCACTCCTCTCTTTCGTTGTCCTAATCCCTTTTACTAACGATGAAACAATGAAGTTTATTGGTGCTTGTTTCATGGCTATCTTAGCCTTGGCAGTTCTTGGAATAGCGAAGGCAAAGATAACTGGACAAAATTATGTGCTGTCTGTATTCATCACCGTAGGCAATGGTGCCTTCGCTGCTGCTGCGGCTTATGCTATCGGGTGGACGCTAAGGAATGTAGCTGGGCTAGTTGACTGAAAATGCTGGGTTTTTAGTTCTGACAAGCATTTTGCCGAAGTTAAAAGGGCAATGAAGCTAACTAGACTAGGAAGTTATGATTTTGATGGTTTGTATGAACGGTTCTCAAATGAAACTTCCATTACGAATTTCGCTTCAGTAGACTTTCTAGTAGATAAAGTAGAATTGGTCTATCAACAGCTTTATTATTCTTGAAAAAACAATGATCAAACATGATTGAGAGATGACAAGGTGAATGGTTAACAAAACTGTTGTCCAACTTAGGCCAAATATAGAAGTGAAAACACGAATTTTGGTAAAAGAAAATCATCTCTCACTCTCCTTCGCTCAAAGATAAGTGCAAGACGTGCTCTGCTTCCTTCAGGAATAATCTGGCGAGTTGCTTTTGCCCTTTTCTATATACTATACTTGACCACCTGTTTCTGCTCATGAATTTGTAATGGCCTGATTCATCCGTATCCTTGCTGCAGAAATGCAAAAGAAACATAAATGTGCATGATTTCCTCGATGAAAAATGATGACTGGAAGTTCAAAAAAGCAAGATATCAAGCAAGGTGATGGAGCCATGGAGGGGAAACTACTTGGAAAGTTTAGTGAATACGTAAGTAATAAACAAATCAGCAAATGCAGCAGTTCACCTAGATAATAGGATAAACCTAATCAATCTCATACCTTTCACACTGTTCAATGCTTTTCACATCCTGGGCCTTTTCAAGCAGCTCGGTATCACAGTCTTCAGTTCCAGAATTTTCTTCAAGATTCATCACCCTTGTACACAGAAATTAAATTTAACGAGTTATGACAGATCCGAGTCTTAAGTCTTCAAGATTATATTTTATGAATTTAATTATATGGATTTCAGTGGTTACTTAGTTTGAAGAAGATCAAAAAGCAATTGTAGAGCTCCAGAATCTCCACAAGCCTCCCATACTGCTGTTCTAACTTCTGTATCTGTTGGTTGCCTCACCCCTTCAGACCCTACAAGCTTTTAGGCAAAAGCAAAAGGTTCAGCAATGAAAACTTGACATATTTTTAATCCAATTAACAGAAACATGTTCTGTCTCCTGCCATAAATGATTAAAGCTCTAATAACAAGGAAGCATATAATCCCAGGTAATCTTGAATACATTAGACTTTCTTCGACAGATATTCATTTATGACAGCAGGGTTGCTGGAATGGCAGCAGCATTTGATGGTCGAATGATGATCATTTTTAGGCCCAACTGGTAGAATATGCAAATTTAAAAACCCGCCTTCAATTACTCCTTTTTAATAGATCCATAATTTCTTAGTTAGATGACATATCTAATATTAAATGAAAAGGAGAGCATCAATCTACTGATTCTTCTGTATTCATCTTTAATATTAAATGAAAAGCAGAGCATTCTTAGTTGGATGATATCTTTAATATTTAATGAAAAAGAGAGCATCAATCTACTGATTCTTCTGTATATCTGAAATTGAAAGTTGGATGATATCTTTAATATTTAATGAAAAAGAGAGCATCAATCTACTGATTCTTCTGTATATCCGAAATTGAATGCAGCTAATTAGAAGAAAACAAAAACAATCCTGAAACAAGTAACCTTATACAGTATACTTTCTTCAGACCAGAGATTCAAAGAACCCATTCACTATACTACAATGTTGATGGAATAGCAGCATCATTTGAAAACTATTTTAAATTAATTGCTCATAGGAGCTGAAAAACAAAGTATCAAATAATTGAAAAGATGTCTCTGAAGAGAAGAGAAACCGTACCTCTTCAAGAAATGAAGAAGCCTTAAACAGCTCATCTTCCTGCATGGCTATGGTCCTCAATGTAGTTAAAAATTCCTCAGGAAAGACCAGCTTATTTACATAGGACGGCATCCTGCGCTGACCACTCCAACTGAAGCTGCAAATTTTCTCTGCTTTTCCCTTACCATTGTCATCATTACTTGCTGTGCCTGCTGGGAAAAGGCCATGAGCCAGCAAGCGTTTAGGTAAAAGACACCGCATTTCAGCTTTCTGTAATGGAAACCAGTTTTATCAGCAACACAAATTTATTTTGTAAGTGGAAACAGCAGGAGACGTAACTCCCTGGATGTGTTAAATAACTTTTAAAGTTCCAAATTCACTTGAATAAAAGCAAAGAAACACTATCGATAAAAAAAGAAGGTCGAGAAATGCTGACCTGTGCTTCAAGAAGCTGCATTTTGGAGTCAGCAAAGGGAACATTCTGAATTGCCTCTACAGGATAATGGACCTGCATACGTTACACATGCAAGTTCTCAAACTTGATCCATTCATTACAATATGCTGCCAACATCTAGCATAAAATATTGTCCTAACAGAACAAGAACAACATCGGAGTTGCAAAATCCACTTGAACATCCAAAATATCACAAGTTAATTCTTTTGCTTGAGCTGTGCTTAAATATAGTCACATTGACAACTGGCCACAAATAAAAAGTGCACAAGCAACAAAAATTCACAAAAGTGGCATTACCATAAGATATTCATCCGGATTGTTATCAATGACAAATCCATAAAGGTACAGTAACTCCTGCATCAAGGCAAAGTAATTCCTGTCACTTGAATGGGTAATTGAAGCTTCAAAGATGGTAGTGTAACATCATTCCAAAAAACGCACCCCAGTTACGAAGAGCAACATGTATTGTGAGCAGAAGAAAATCTAGACAAATGACAGGTAGCTGGAAGATATAATGCTCCAAATAAGAATATTTTGATTTATGCACCACAGAGAAGCAGGAATGGAGGCACACTAACTTCCAATACAAGGATTCATGGAGACAATACTTTTCTGAGATGAAAAATTTAAACACTATATGTGATTCGAATCGTCAGCATAATTCATACAGTACCTATCCATAATGTTAAAAAAGGATTTGCATGGCTCATAATCAAACAAAACCGGAGACAATACTTTTCTGAGATGTAAATTTTAAACACTATATGTGATTCGAATCATCAGCATAATTCATACAATACCTATCCATAATGTTAAAAAGGGATTTGCATGGCTCATAATCAAACAAAACTCATATGAATGATAAGCAAGAAAACAGAAATCATAGCAGGCAACTCAACATAAAGGATGCAATAGCAAAACTAGAGTGAAACAGTAGATCAACAAGTTAAAAGAAGGTTTCCCCGGATGAGTGTAAGCATTCCCACGCTAAATGATTGTGCCAAGGTCATGTACAATGCGAAGTTAAATTGCTAAAGACATATTTGCTAAAAAGAAGTGTCCCCATTGAGTTAAAAGAGGTTTCGACACAATAATTACCATTTCCTGTCCAGTTTAGAAAGATGAATCCAGATTATGCTCCCAGGCACTATATAGCATAGCTAAATGCAATATCTCAACAAACTAATCATCTTGACATAATAAAGAGGTGTCAAGAGTTGGAAGAGAAAAACACAATTAACAAATACCTAGGCACGTCCTCTGAGTGCCAAAAGGAAGTACCTCATTTCCCTTGTTGCCATAGCTGATGGTAACTTCTTTCTCCATTTGGAAGGGAGTTTTTTCAGCTTTCCGAGTGAGATGGGCAAAAATGTCATGAGAAAAACAAGAAATCTCTATAGTCAGACATAGTTAAATTCATAAAGTTCAGACCATCAGCTACTCATGTTTGATTTTAAATTAACAAAAGACTTAGGCACTAATATACAAATAATCCTCTTGGAACCGTTAAGAATACTACCAGAAAGAAGGTACATGGAGTGAGGAACTCCAGCAGTCATTCCTGTTCCATCAACCTCCCATGTTGCCACCGCCTTCAGATCTAAACAGTCATGTTCAACCAAATGACAAATAACACATAGAATGTCACTTCACTATGACAGATAATAAGGAAAAAAAATTAATTTTTATTCAAGTAAACTCAAACAACATACTAGTTAAAGATAATTGGAATTACTAAACAACTGGCATACCATGGTTGCAAAAATCAATGCCAGGAACAAGGCCCTCCACCCAGACAGTCTCATTGAACTGGCCATCAACTCCAGGAACCTTGGATCCTGATATAAGAAGTGCCTTAGCTTAGTTTGATAGGAACAAGAACATGCACCAGCAATTCCTTGATTCAAGTAGCTAATCAGGAGAGATAATGATATCATGGAGAACTAAAAACTGAAAAAAATTACCATACTTTCTTCATCCTTCCTGTCAGTCAAGTCTCCAGCAGAAATATCACTATGGGAAACCCCAGAGTCAATGCTAAGTGAAGACTGACTGTCCTGATCCTCTTGAACTTGTGGAAACACATAAGAACGTGGAAAGGGAATGTTCAAAGCACGTGCCCAAAATACTGAATTTGCCCTAGCATGATGGAAAGAGTGCAAAATTAGCCAGCAAAAGTGGTAGGAACAAGAGTGGGTTTATGTCAAGGAAATGCCAAGGCATAATACAAAATATCCAACAAAAAGAAGTAATTTGGAAGATACTTACCAAAGGAAATCTTCAAAACACACCTCACTGGCAAAAGAAGCAATAACAAATATCAATTTTTTTGTAGAAGATGATGCCATTCTTAACTCACATTGAGTGTAATAAGTTTACCATTTGTGTGTCTAAATGCCTATGATAGCCCAGTTATGCACTTATGCTCAACCAGGAAAATATGAAGAGTTAAGTAGTAATTGCCAATTTGTAACCAGAGCTCCTAGCTCTGGGGGTTGGGTGTTATATTTTTCATCAATCAACCAAGGTTCAAACTTCAGTACCAATAACAACAAACAAAAAATAATTAGCCAATTTGGAAGCTGAGCTTACCTTTCTAAATCCCCATCTAGAATTAGAAGTTTCTGCACCAAGCCCTTCACCTTGTCTTCATACATAGACAACAACCTTTTTCTCTGCAATGTATAGGTATGTCTTTCATCAAGTTATATGGAGTCCAGGTCAAGGCACAATCATTCAAACCAAAATATACATGAAATATCAATCCCATGAATTATACAAAAGTCCAATATCAAACCACCTAGAATTAGAAACGATGTTTTGTAATTTAGGTTAACAGTAAAGGTAAGATCAAGTGTTCAGATAAATCAATAATCACCACATAATTGGAAGCACCAGCATGCTTTAGGAATCATTATAATCATCATCTTGAAATAAGTTGAGGAGATCAGTAGCATCGAAGTGGCAGTAGATGCTTTGATATTGTAGGTGAAACTATAAGTTGTGACAGCCTGACAGAACCTATCTTCTTGAACTGACACCATTATATACAGTGTCATACATAACCCAACTATCCAATCAGTGTAACACAGGACATGCAAAAACATGTGTGACCTGTAATTCAGTTGCCCGATATAGTGTTGTCCCCTTCAACTCCAAAAGCTCATCATCAGTAAACCAGAGTGGATTTCCAAAGGTGGTGGGAAGCATGTCAAGGTACCTAATACAATGTAAACTGAATAAACCCAAACCACCCTGAAAAAAAAAATTCTAACCCAAAAATAAGCAAGTGTAATCGATGCATACGGTTTCCAAGACGAATTATTTCGAAGGCGCTCTAACATTAGAAATAGAATCATCAAAAACCTGTCATCAACTTCTCCTTCTTCGAACATAGATCTACACTCAGGTCCAATAAAGGGATCTTGTAACACTCTCATAGGAGTTATTGCTAGATCTAGTGGAACAACAAGTAGAACCCCTGCATTTTTCCAAGAAAGTTTCCGAGTAAAATCATTCAATTCAAACATTTTCACAATGACAATATATAAATATAAATATATATATATAAGAAGAAAAGAATCTTTATTCTTTATTTTACTAGTATTCTTTCCACATAGCAACCAAAAATTCATTTCCTTAACATGCCTGACAATAACGCCCAAAATTCCAGCCAAGTGCAAATATCAGCTAACTGCCACTTTGCTGAATACTGTAACATTTCAAGACATCATGATATCCAATAGCAATGCCAGCCTCACTGTATCAATTTACATTCATGTATAAACCTATTGCTATTAACCCCAGCCCCCCCGACAAAAAAATAAATAAAAAATAACCAATTCTTTTACTTCTGCATACTGAACTGTTCAGCGTTCTACTCCAGTACAAAAAACCAAAGTTACTTAATTTTACTGATACTTTACTAGGGAAAAGGAATGAGTTTATTTACAAAAAAAGCCACCTTTTTCAATCAACAACCAGTCCGTATAACGCACAAATATGAATGTAGAGATTGATGAAAAGGTTTTGATTACCATCAGAGACATCATTAGATGAAAACACACCAAAGCCTTTATTTTGACCACAGTATTTGATGTTGCACCCTCTTAGTTCAACCTTGTTAACCTGAATTCAAACAAACACACCTGAATTCAAACAAACACATCCCACATAAAAAATAAAATAAAGGCAAACACAAAGAGAAATGTCATGTTATATATATATATATAAACCGGAAACAAAAAGGTAAGAAAGAGGGTTGCTTGAGTATTGATTTGCCTGGAGCCATTGAAGGAATCTTTCAAGTTTTGCTGCTTCTTCTTCACTGGCCATTGTTTGATTTGCTTAGGGGGGTTTTTGGTGGAAGTAGAAAACTCGAGGTTTATGCGGTTTAAAACGATGGAACGGAAAATAAGCAAACGAGCACGCCGTGCTGAATAGACGAGTGTCGTTATGACGACACACGTCGTTTTGGCCTTGGTAGGTCAGCCTTCATGATTAGTGAGCGACGCGTTGTTCGCATTGTGCAGGGATGAGGATAATTTTTGTCAACATAGTTAAATTTCAAGATGCTAGCTCCGTTGTGAGTCAAATATAATTTCTGGCAAAGCAATTTTCACTCAAAACTCAAAGCATATTGTGTTTAAGGTATAAGCTGTATGTTCTGACAGCAAGAAGTTAAACAGGACTAGGTATTGTTTCGTTGGTCAATTGCAGAAATTTTCTCCAATTCCAATATATATTTATCTTTCAAATCAAGCTATATTTCCTTTTTGTATAGGTATTTTTGCTTTTTTCGAGTAGAATTTTTAACTTGATAAACTATGTACTATAACGAGTCTTCGGTAAAATTATTGTTTTGATAATAATGAGGTTGGAATTTATTCAACGGTATCTTGAAAAATATATTTTAAATTATTTTTTTTTATTCAAATAGATTCCATCATCCCCAAAGACAAAGGTTAAAATATAAATAACATATTCTTAACTTATCAAAATAAAATATTTATGATTTATTATAATAACTATAAAGCCCAAGATTCTTAATATTTAAAAAGATAGTGGCTAAGTAATTGGTTGAATTTAAAAATAATAAATATAAGAGTTTATTAAACTCATATGTGTTTAGGTTTAGCGCTTAATTGATTATATAAATAGTAGATTTGACAGCTTGTTAGCTCTATATATATCAAGGCTCAGCACTCGGCTGAACCCAAAGATATTAAATCATTATCGTATCTTTAGTTACCTTTTCATAAAAAAGATTCCGAGCAAAAATATAAAATTATTGATCCATCATATCTATACAATCCAAGTGAATCTTTTAGTGATCATGAGATTTTTCTTGGATTAAGCTGATCAAGTTGCATCATTCGACAAACAGTTATTTTCTCATTAATAAGTTGGGAGTTTTTATATGTTTTACTAAAATTTCAAACCAATCCTTTAAATATGAACCTTCAAAAGGTCTTGTAAAATTGTTTGTTACATGGATAATGGGTTTTTGATATCTTGTTATTGTTAGCATTTGTTAAAATTGTATCTGTATACATGACTGGTGAGAAAGACATTAACATATGTAACAATTAATCTTCTCATATTGGTCACCTTAAGGTGCTATTTAATTTTTGACATGTATTTCATTACCATATGCTATTATGTTTAATACATGCACGCATGTGTGTGCGTATTTGTTCTAATCTTTATATTTATAAATAGATAAGTTATATATTAAATGTTATTCTCTTATTGAATTGGTTGAACTCACCCTTTTATTTTTAATATTATTTTAGATTTTTAGTTTTTGTTGGCAAGTGAATTTTATTAAGTGTTTATGTTTTTTTAGTTTTGATCGATATGCCTTACTTGTTTCACAAGACTTTCCTTTTATTTTTTATTTGACATGTTAGACACTTTAAAATTAAGTTAGGTTTAGACTAAACTTTAGGTTTAAGTTCATGGGGCCATATCACGGGTCTTACACATATGACCCTATAGTGAGTTTAATAGGTTATCACAAGTTGATTTATGTTATTTTGTTGGGCATTTTTTTCCAATTGAATTTTATTTTTATTTTATCTTTTAACTTTGGGTTTATTGAAAATTAAATTTTATATTTTATTTTATTTTATCTACTTTCTATAGATTATCCTAAACTTTTAACTTAGATCATAAGTTTAGTAGACTATCTACGTTGGTTTTTTATGTTATTTTTTAATTGAATATTTTTTTAAATCGGGCTTCATAATTTTTTTATTTGCTTTATATGGTATTATTCTAGTCTAATAATTTAAATTACGAGTTTGACAGATTGACTTGATTTATTTTTTAGGTCTTTTTTAACTAATTACCTTTTCAATTTCATATTTTAACAACTCAATCTTCTTCCTTTTTATTTATTTTTTTCAATCTCATCCTCAAATATTAAGTTGTTTGGAAATTGAGCTTTATATTTTTTTTTATTTGTTTTCTATGGGATCATTCATATCTCATAACTTAAGTTGTAGGTTTGATAGATTAACTCAAATTGAATTGGATAGATTTCCCCCCTTTTTAATTTACTTATTTTTAAATTTTACCATTCAATATTGAATTTATTAATAATTGACCTTGATTTTTTTTAAAAAAAATATTTCTATAAATATATCACAATGTCATAACCTATGTTATAGAATTAATAGGTTAATCTAAGGTTGATTTAATATGTCACTTCTCAATATTTGAAAAATAATATCATCTAGTATGCTACTGTATCAATATTTTAAAAAGATATCAAATGTCATCTAGTATATATCATTTTTCAAGCTCATGATTAAATTTTTTTATTGAAAAATGCATTAGTAATATTTGAATTTTTTATGTTTTTAAAAAATTGATCTAACCTAAACATGAGCCAAAACATGAGCCAGTAATCTAATTGATTAATTATATTACATGGAAATTGTATCAATTAGATCAATTCAACTTTTTGGAGACCATATGGTCTTTTTAAATCTAAAAAATAAAAAATCTACGTGGTTCTCATATTTGAGAGTAAAGAGTAATTAATAAGAAGCATGAAGAAACCAATATACGTTAGCCTTAGTTTACCGTGAATTACAATGGTTACATGATGTGATTGTGTTAAAAAATTCACATGAGTAATTTTGTTGCACAATGAAATTACTTGTTTACCTCTAAAAACAAAAAAATAATAATTTAACTTTGGTTTAAGAGCTTTTTTGATATTTTATAATATTTTAAATAATTAAATTATTTGGTTACCTTTAAGAGTTAACAAAAAAAAAAAAAACTTGATCCACGATCTTTTCTAGATTTTTTTTTTGACATGCACTTTGTAACTACTTTACTTTATTTGGAATGAAAAATTTATATAATTGTTTTTCAGGAATATGTTGGTATTTTCCACTTTTTCCGTGATTATCATGTGATCTCATAAATGATTTGGTAGTTTGATTAATAAATAAATAATAAAAAATAAAAAATTACTATCGTATTTTTTTAAAAAATCAGCGGATGAGCTGCTTTGCTGTTTTTTCACAACACATATAGTGGCTCATAATAGGTAAAACCTAACTTCTTTTGTGTTTTTTTATTTGCTATGGCGGGGGCTACCTCTCCAAATGGCATGTTGACTTAATTTCTAGTGGTTTTACAACTATTAATTTTTTTTTCCCTTTGTTCATTGTTTTCCATCCATGTCTTTGCAACATTTCACAACAAAACCATCTAGTTTTTTTTTATATGGGATCTAGTATTTGTTATTTTTATTTTTATTTTCTTAACTTAAATTAACTTAATTAATTAAATTTGTTTTTTAATTTCATTCTACATTATTTTTTTTTCATTTTAAACTTGGCTCTCATTCATTTAATTGCAATTTATTTTATTTTGAATGGTTCTGGGAATTTTATTTTTATTATTTTGATTGGTATTTTTTAACTTTAACAAGTTTTTTAAATTGATTTTTTATTTATTTCATATTTCAATATTATATTGAGTTTTTTTATTCACCCTATATTCAAGATTTAATGAGTTGTGAATTTGAGGGATTAACCCAAATTTAAAGAATTTTACAAAGTTCGTATATTGTTTTTTTCCTTCAATTTTTTAAACTCATGTTTTTCAAATATTTGATTTAATAAGATACTGGGCTCTCTTTCTCTCTCTCTCTCTATATATATATATATGATTTTTCATTAATTTTTAAAATATTTAGGGTTTTTTTATATTTTATTTTTTGCTGGATTTAACTTTTTTTTAAAAAAAGTTTAAATTAAATTAAATTAATTACTCTATATTTATTTTTAAAAATACATCATCCAATATGTGATAATCTCCATTTATTTTAATATTTATTTAAGTATAAAAAAATATCTAACCCTAACAATGTCCAAAAAATCATTTTTTTAAGTTTATATTTTTTAAGTTTTATCTTTTAACATTTGATTTATTTAGAGATTAAATTTTTTTTTTCTATATTTTTTTTTTATTATAAAAATAATATGAATTATATTAAATTATATAGAAAAAATTTTAATCTCTAAATAAATAATTTTTTATTATTATAATTTTAATTATATTATTAAATTAATCTAGTTTAATAAAAATAATGAATTGTAGTCCAGATTTGTTTTTAAATGACTTGAAATTATTTGGCTCATCAAGCTTCGGATCGGTGATTCTGATGGGCCTTTCACCCTGGTTTGTGCCGAGACCTATTAACCCAATCACAAGCCCAGTATTAGTGATATCCGTTGGGCTCGAAAGTGGAGGTGCAAGTCTAGACACATTAACAACCCCCAAGTCTTCGTATTTAAGAGCCCATACCCCATCCTGCTACACCCTTAAAACCAGTTACCTGGCAACTGGCTTTACCCTTACAAGTGCTGAAAACTAAAAGAAAAGGAGAAAATAAAAAACACCATCGTTGTTCTATCGTGCCGCCGATCCTTATAAAACCTTGAATCGCTCGATCTATAACCCTATCCAATTAAGAGAAGAAGAAGAACGTCAGCAAGAAGCTCTCTCTCACTATATCAGGTTTGTCCGCGTATTTCTCTGTCGCTACGATCGCTCGGTCAATCGCCTCGTCTACCGCCACGATGTCGATGAAGACGGCGACCGGTTTCAATTATCAATGCCCTTGCTCGATTCTTAGGGTTTCATTTTTGGATTTCCTTTCGTTTTTATTATCGCTTGCTTCTGGATCTGCAATCAGATATCGTAATTGTGTTTTTAGGGTTAGAGATTTTATTTCAATTTGGGTTTCTCGAGATCGGTGATATCATTTATTCTGTGATCGTCATGACCAAGGGTGAATCAAGTAATTGCAGTTCAAGATTTAGGGTTTTTTATTATCTTCATGGACTTTGCA